CCGGGAAGGGGAGTTCCAGCGTCCCGTAATGGCGCATTTCTCTTCTGTTCGGGTTCTAGGGCATGGTAGGCTGTGGAGCTGTGCACACACTGTTGGGGGAGAAAAGCTTTGAAATACCATCGCCCAGCATAAACAGCAAGCTATAACACGACCTCTTCCGCACGAACATAATGTTATGGACTTCTTTGTTTGAACCTCCCCGCACAAAAAAAGTTCTGAAAAATAATCCTAAGCAGGAATTAATCATTTTTTGGCACCTTATCATTCTTGATATATTTCCTCACTTAAAATGTTGTTTTGGCGAAAAAGAAAAAGAAAAGAACGGTGGATGGTGTCGGTAGCTTATGCCAAGAATGGTAACTCTTGGTTCATGCAACATCCAGAACATTCCCTAACCAGGAACCACTTCAGTGATACTTCGACCCTAACATCAACAACATCCACTTCAATACTAGTAGTAGAGTTGAAGGTATGGGGAGAAAAATATCAAAAACAACAAGATAATATTGACTAATTTGAGTTGTCAAGTGGATGTCCTTGCGTGGGAGAGAGGTCGTGATCCTGGGCGATAGTGCTCCCTGGCGGTTGATATGTTTAACCCTGCAATCGATGGTACTTCAAACGCTTTCCCCTCCTTGTTGGGATGGCTGTGATATCGGCCTGGAGAGGAAGTGTTTGGGGAGTCTTCTATGGGTATCTGCTTGTGCTAGCATGAACAATACACTACTCTTCATCCCTTTCTCAAAGCGCGAAACGACCCCATCTCATCCACCACATCGCACAAATAATCGAGCGGCTAGCCTTGATAAGCAAGTCAGTTAGTCGGTTATCCAATCCCCCCCACCTCCGAGCGACCCCGAGAACATATCATCGTACCGTAAGCTCGCAAGCTTGTAGGAGTACTCCTGCTGAGAAATCACTTTATTACCAACCGGAGACCAATAACCCCTTATCTGCGGTGGAACGCTAAGTTAGCGATGTAAACGAATAAAAAACCAAATAATTTTTGCCCTTCCTTACCATAAATGCCCTTCCATCCATCCCCATCCAACCAATCAACCGATCCATCTCCCCTCTCCTGGCGCCTATGTTGTACGAATCACGAGTTATCCCAACAAACCAGCCAATCCCACGCAAGCAGGCACGATCAAACCCTAACCGCTGCAGTGGAACAACACATGACCCGCGCGGCACCAAGGTCAAGTCCCGACAGAGCGGTCCTTAGATGCAGTCCATCCGACTCTATCGGGAGAAAACATCACAACTCCCCGCTTGGCGAGGTACTGTACCGGTATTCCCGGTGTTTAACTCGGAGGAATAGGGCGCAAAGATTGGGGGGGAAGGGGGAAACAACATCCCTTCACACCTCCCCCCGCTAACCCCTCTTGTGATTGTACGAGTAAGCGGGTAGGACCAACGACCGATACAATAAAATGCAGCACCGTGCTGCGCTGTACGCTTTCGCGGGTGGGACAGGATTCCTTCGCCCCATGTCTTATTGTTTGCTTGCGGTAAGTGGGGTTTTGTCGTCACTATAATGTTATTGTTATAGGTATGATAGAAACGGAAGGTAAGAAGAAGTGGACTGTGGGGAAGGGATGAATTGGTCGCAGATGTTTCCGTCCGTCGTGCGGTTGGTTGGTGGTGCAGGCGGGTGGATGTGGTAGCTTTGCCGACAGAGCTCGAGCAGCGTTAGACTTTGGTCGTATGACTTGGTGGGGGCATATAACTCTGGGATGGATGATTAGGTTCGGTGAGGGGGGCAGCTCTTCCATTGACGGTTAGAATAATACTATTATGCTCGACTATAGGGCGGGAGCTGGACTTTCAAGATAAGGTTTGAACTGGCGAAGCGGGATATGTCTATTTATCTACCCCATCTGCCGGTATTGCGAAGCACAGAAGCGAGAAGCAGAAGGAGCAAAAGGTATCATAAGTGTGTGCAATCGGGCTTTTTTGTGCCCTCCCTTCTCTCCACTTTATCATGCCATGGTCCAGGGGTAAGGCTGTCTGCGATGCACTCTGTGTCACGGCCGAAACTGTTTTACCCCAGGTTTGCCCAGCATCTATCTGTCTGCCTGCCATACCGGTACCGCCTTGTGCCAGAATAAAAAATACTTTGCAAGTATAATAATATTGCGCGAAACTTTTTCTTTTCGTGTGTGGGTGGTATCCTGAATTGGTCGAGATGTATGATACCGGTACTGTACCTGTGTACTCGTACGGTACCCCATCCTCCTGCGGCCAGTCTGCGATACTCGAGTACCGGTACTGTACCGGTATTGTACTCGTACAGTGTCATACTCTCACCGCTCTCGCCAGTCGTGGTAGTCTCCCGTGTCTGCACGACAAATCACTCAAGGTTGAACGAAACGGTTCGGCTAGTGTTCTGACGGATGGCAACATACACATTCCCGCAACGAACCCCCTGGCGTCCTACCAGCTACTGCATCCAGCCTCACCACTGCTTCCCTTCGCCTCATGATTGGGTTTTGTTGCTTTTTCTTTCCCCGACTGCTTGCTTGTGGGGATTGTTTTTGGGTTTCCTCGTTCGCGCAGTACCCATTGTACTGCGCACTATGGAAGTGAATCGAGTTCGCCTTGCTGTGCAATATATTTGGGATACAGAGTTCCTTAGGCATCTAATCTTTTCATCTGTGCTGCAGGTGGTACTCGTATGTACAGTACTCGAGTATCTATGCTGGTATTAGAAGTCACACTGCACTGGTGCCTGCTCTTTCTGTGAACTGGTTTGATGTGTGCGCTGCGCACTACGGTAGCATTGTGGTGCACCGGCAGGTACCGTAGGCGTTCTCTCTCTCTTTCTTTTTTTTTTGCTTCTCCCTTTCTACTGTACTGTACTCGTACAGTTATGACACTCTTATCATGCCGGGACATATCGCAGTTTTCTTCCCAACCCCCACACCCTTGGCATACAATACACTACGGTTTTCGAGTACGGTATCCGGTACTGTACTCGTACATACATAGGGAAAAGGGAAAGATGTTGCCCTGCAGATGCCGTAAACAAAACCTGTCTTGGTTCGGCCTGGCGTCAAATGAATCATTGAGCCAAGAGACAATTCCCCGTCCGGAAAGAGAAACTACAAGAGAGAGGGCCAGCCATTGAAAAAGGAAAAAAAAAGGGGGGAGGAAGTCGAAAGTCTCCTAGGGTAGTTCTATAATAGTGTGCAGTGTGTTGTGTTTGAGTTGAGTTCTGTGAGTTCAGTTTGCGAGGTAGTGAGGGAGTGAGGGTGAGGGAGTGAGTGTGTTCGTGCGCTTGTGTACTGTAAAGGAGAGGAAGGAGGGACCAGACAGGCCGAGGGTAGAAAAAAAAGAAAAAGAAAAAGGACAGGCCGGGGAAGGAAGGGATCTTTGGACCTTGACATACTTTTTCCTTCGAAGGGAAGGGTGCTACGGTATCATCATCATCTTCTTTTTCTTCTCTCTCTCCACTTCGACTTGTTCAACTTCATCTTCTTCGTCTTCGTGCAACTCTTTATTTATTATAGTTTACTTTTTTGTCTCCTTACTTTTTTTTCTGCTGTAATTTTGCATTTATTCCTTGCAATTCTTTCCTCGAGTATCATACGCTTCTTTCCCCTTCCACAAAGGTAAATATTTCAGCTAACCCCTAACAAATCGGGGGTAAATCTCCTGAATTGTCCACTCCTTCCATCTAGTCCCCTTGCTCCCCTCCAGCCGTAACGGCAGGAACGTTCGAACAACCTCTCCTCTTTCACACATTTTGTGTCAGTTTCTCCATCGGTTTGGCGTCGTCATCATCATCATCATTTTCCAGATCACGGATCCGAGCCGTTCGCCGTCGGCGTTGTCTTCCTTCTTTTCCCGTTTCCTCTCACTCTCCCCCTTAGTCAACATTTTTGTTATTATTGTTTCTGCCCATTTTCCAAGACATAGCAATCTCTTCTTGTCACCTGTGTTTCCAGCCCCAAAGGGTTCAACTCTCATTTCCAGCCAAACGGTTCACCCTATTAAACATATTGGTCCCCACACCCCCCCCCAAGATCTACCACACCAACTTTTGCACTCCCGCTACCACCGCCATTCAAACCCTAGTCCGACCATTTGTTCTTGGAGAAAGAGGACAGAAAGGGCAATCGCAACAATTAAAACAGAGATAATAATATTCGAAAGCTAAATTAATTCAATTATTGGTCACCAGAAGAAAAGAGGAAAAGAGCGCCAGGGGAGAAGGAGGAGGGAGGGAAGAAAGAAAGAAAAGAGGAAGCAGAAAAAACAAAGAGAGGTATCCTCTCCAAGCTACCCTTACCCGCCCAAGAACCCAGCAACCGAGAAAGGTCGACGAATCAATCTCTGCCGTTTCGCTTTCAGGGGCAGGGCCCTCGTGCCTTGGTTCAACCTCTGCGCGTTTGTCCCGGTTGTTTCCTTGTGGAGGAGGAGGAGGGAGGGGAATTTCAGACTTTTTTCCTCTAAATTTTTTTATAGACATTTTGTGCTCTTCGAGAGAGAGCGGTTTTTTGAGGAAAGGGATTGCCCCAATCAGTGGGGCGAAGCTAGTGTTTGCCTAGATTAAGCCCTCTCTTGCGCACCCCATTATCACCAACCCTTCCTTTCCCCTGGCGAATCAACTCTTAAGACAAAAACTTATACTAATTCCAATTAAAAAAAGAGTAATACTTGCTGAGTGGGATGGTGCGGTCAAGTGGGACGTTAGAAGCAACATCTCCATCATCATCATCTTCCAGTCTATCAACCCACCAGACTGCGAAGTCCACTCACAGGCCCACTCTTTCAACTTCTTCAACGTCATCCGGAAAGGGGGCTGCGGCGGTTCCGCACGTGTCCTCCGATTTCTTTGAAAGGAGGCCCTCCATAGCTCAGACTGAGCATAGCACCGATAGCAACAGGACAATAAGGGGTAGTCGGAGCGTTGATAGATCTAGTGGGAGCACGGAAGGAACATCGGGGAACTCACGGGGTGACAGTGTGGAAGTTTCAACTGCTGTGGAGACAGCTACTGTTGCGAATACTTCGAGCCCTGCAACTGCGCTGGGGATCCGTCCTTCCTTAAGATTGCGCTCGCACTCGACAGGAACAGTGTCCCGGGCTGCATCTGTATCCTCATCGCCCCAACGACGTGGAAACAACCCCTTGACGAGCTCGGGAACGAATTCTTCCATAACAACTCCTTCCACGGGCAATTCTGAGGGCTCTCAGTTCTGGAAATCTTCTCCCCAGCGATTGAGGGTGAATCCAGATCGCCTTATTACCAGCAGTCCTATTGCCTACCTCGACAAAGACTCGAGTACTTACCCTGAAATAGCTTTCGGGTCCCTGTTGGGACCAGAATTACCGCCTAAACCTCTGCGCACGTCCTCCCTCTATCCTGCCTATGCTGTCGGAAGGAACTTGGGAGAACCATTGGGGAATAATCTGCAGAAGGGCGGGGACCCGATCAAAGCTCGGACGCGCGAGCGTCGGTCGCATTCGCAGAAAGCAATGTTATCTTCGGCCCTTCAGAAAGCCAACACGGCTGTGACGTTGGATAACGCCGAGAATTATGAAGGAGCGATGGAAGCCTATGGGGATGCTTGTGTTTTGTTGGGTCAGGTCATGATGAGGGCTGGTGCGGATGAGGATAGACGGAAATTGCAAGCCATTGTGAGCTTCCTTCCCCAACTTCTTGCCCTTGAGTCTTCTTTCCCTGGGAAACTCTCACTCGACCCATGTAGCGGTTATGAGGGTGGCTATCAGCCAATTTTCAAACACGTGACTAATTGAAGTGGGGGAGTAGCACGAGACATATACCCAACGAATAGAAGAGCTTCGGGATTTATTACCGCATCCTACCGGGATTGAGAAGGAGCTGCCTGCCAGGCCATTGACGGAAGAATTCACTGACCAGGAAAGCCTGTATGAATCAACGGTAATAATATCAACCGCTGCCGCCGCCCCGGTAATCGGGAATAATCGATATGCCGGCGGTGTCACGCTGGCGACGGCTGTACCTCCGAGGAGAGATTCTTTATACCTGGGCCCCGATTCGAATTTAGATTCCGGGCCCCTGCCACCACTACCCATAGCCAGGTCCAGGTCTGCAGAGCATATCCCGGCGCCCCTCTCCCCGGGGCGCCGACTTCGTTCGCCAGAGAAGGATGCAATAAGTGGGGGTGAAAGATTGAACCTTGGCCTGTATGAGAGCAATAATAGGGAGTCCTTTACCTTTGGAGCAGCTGCTTTGTCGCCCCGGTTTTCGCCTGCGAAAGAACGCGACTATGGTATCCGGAGATCTGTGTCAGATGCATCCTCAATTTCGTCGCGAAGGTCATCATCGCATAGGAAATCGGGCTTATCATCGAACAATACGCATTCCAGACAGGGAAGCGAGGCTTCCACGTCTTGGCTAAACACGATCGACGAATCTGGTGGGTCAGTATCTGGCGAATCCTCGTCTGGATGGACGAGGAGGAAGCCGGGAAAACAGAGTGATAGGGAATTGAGAAGGGAGAAGGAGAAGGAAATTATGCGGCAATTTGAAGAGGATTTTGATTCTCAGTTTGATGCGGCAGTGGAGGCGGCTTACGATGATGGTTATGAAGTAGACTACACGTATGATCGTGATGATGATGAGCTATTAATGATGAAAAGTCCGAGGATGAACGTTGAAAGGGCAAAGGAGAGGGTCAAGGAGGTGGAGAGGGAAATGGAAATGGAGATACAGAAGGAAAAGGAAAGGCGATTAGTGAGGGAGAGGTTAGGGTTTGTTGAAAAGGGGAGAGATTCTGATATGGACTTTTTCGACGATGTGGAGGGCGATGAGTCTGATGAGGAGGAGCGGATGCTGGAGGAGATGACAAGAGGCTATATACTTGACGATTTTGAATTTAACCTGGATTCGAAAACAGCATTACCCCGACAGTCGGCATCCACCGCATATTCCGATTCGACGTTACCTAGGGAATCGGGTTCGAGTGGCTACTCGTCAGGAACAACATGGGCGAGCTCGGTTAGCTCTGCGCATATGCTGAATGGAACCCACTTGACTACAGTAACAGAAGTTCCAGTAACGCCCCCACCCCCGCCTCCAACCTTTTCGCCTCACCTGCCTCCACCTTCGCTTCCTCCTCAGGTACCACCTCCACCACCGCCCCTAGCGCTAGCACCCTTGGCACCGTTAGCGCAAAAAATTAAGGAACCACTGCCAACACTCCCTAACCCTAACATTGCAGCAATCCCGGGGCTTGCGGTTACGAAGTCTTCATATAGTGTAAGAAGTAGACGCCTTTCGGCCTTGGCGGAGCCTCTCAAGGTTGAAACATCAGTGTCCAATACCGCTTCCTCATCAAACACAACTGCCGTACCGACAACATTGGTGCGTGGGCCGTCACCCCAACCAGGAGCAGTTGACTCAGAACCTCCATCCGAACCACCTCCATTACCACCTGTAAGCCCCCCATTGAACGCCCCTCCAAAGTCAGCCTCAGCCGTATCCTCGTCCCGACTGGGCGCCTCCAGCGACTTTGGGGACGGCTCGTTGCCGGATCCTCCAGCAACCGCTCAAGGTATTTCCGGCAGAAAGCTTTCATCACCAACACCTCCAACACTCGAACCTCCTGGACTGAGTGTTCCGTTGGCAAAGACAGTATCTGACGACGGCGCATCAGGTTCTCCGGCTAGGTATACTCCACGAATAGCTGGCATCCCCGGTTCGCTAAGGCAGATACAATCATCGGCGAGCTTGAAGAGTAGGAATGTTGGTGGTCCCGACACCGAATCTCCGGGAATACCTCACAACGGCCTGTTTTCGTCGTCCAGCGCTTCAAATTTAAGGAAGGCATTTCCGAGATCGGCAACTCCTGCTACACCCACCATCGTACCTAATACACCAATGGGCGCCCCTCCGACTGCAGGACTTCCCGCTGGAGGAATGCACCTTTTCGAGAGCAAACTTCATTCACCCGCTACACCTGGTAATGAGGAGGCTCTCTCTTCTAGTATTCCAGTACCTCTCGAACCCTGTCCTCCCGAGCCATTGTCTAAGCCCTTCTGGTTGATGAGGTGCTTTTATCAAACCGTAGCCCATCCCCGTGGTGGATATATCTCTGCTAGGCTTTTTGTACCTAGAGAAGTCTGGTTCATCAAGGGGGTTAAGATCCGCGCAGTGGACGACAAAATTTCTGCATGCGACCTTGTCAGCGCAGCATTGGCCAGACTTGCAAGGGTAAAGCATAACGACATACACGCTCTCTATGAAGAAATGCAATCGCTCGAAGGCGTCCTCGATCGCGCGCAAACTGTTCTTTCAAAGAAACTTGGGAATGAAGTAGGATCAGTCGGCGCGAGATCCCTTTACCAAACCGAGCACACGATATCAGAAGGCAACGCCCATGACATGGTGACCAAATCCACCGGTGTCACTGGAGGGAAGAGCTACTTTTCCTTGCGCAAGCTCCGTACAAAGTCCTCCAACACTGCGCTCTCTAGCTTTGGTTCGTCGTCTAATCTTGCGGGCGGGGACTTTTATGGTAGCAGTGGGTTGCCGATGGCCGCTGGTGCGACAGATTCCTCTTCCCAGCCCAAGAGGAACTTGGAGAGTGTTACTTTTGGCGGGCCTCATGCTGCTTATATCAGTGCTTTGGCGCGGTTGTTTGATGCCGCACAGATTCTTGGTGAGCGATTTATGAACACTATTGTTCTACCCGATTTGGATTTTATTTTGTTTTTTTCTTTGTTTATTAAACAAGGAGCTAATACATATATGTGCGATACTTATAGACCGCCTCCCAGTATTCGATGAAGGCAGCCTCCCTGAGAAGACTGCCCCAACCAAAAAAGTCGGATTAGAGCTTAGCCATCGTCACGCAGCAGAGTTCTTTGGATTCTACATTTGTCGTTTCGTACTGGCCGATGTTTCCCTCCTTCTAGACAAGTTTGTGAAGAGGGGTAATGAGTGGGTTGCACAGTAATGGATAGCTTCTTTTTTTCTCTTTAACTTTTTCATTATACTTTTTCATTTATGTAACTACTATTTCTCCTTTTTTTGCCACCAAGCTACTTTTCTACTATAACTTTATTGCTGTCTCTGTGTCTGTTACTGTGTTATTACGGCGTTCGTCATGATGTTGGCTAGCTAGATACCTACCTACTTCTCCCACTTTTCATGCACATATTTTTTCTTTTTCTTCTCCCTATATCTGTGTTCTCTTTTCCGTTGCACGCGTTCTCTTGGCAAATCTAGTCGGCGGGCATACGATTCCGCCTGAACAAAGTTAAGCTATGCTAAACGATTCGAATGGGTGGGTGGATGAATGTATAATAGTGTTTCCTGTTTACTATCACCATGCACCGTACCGTATTTTAGGAACCACGATCACCTTTAATACCTACCCTCACACGGTCCCGCAATATCATAAAGAACTACTCGAGTAGAGTATCATACTGAAACTGTGCACCACCCAGGTGGGGTTTAACAGTAGCACCTAACGGCAAGAATCCAAAATACCACTTGCGAAACCCCCCCAATATCCACCCCAAACCCTCCCCTTCCCCAAAACAAGTTGATGTATTACTACGACGAAGCTTGATGAAAGCTACGCAAACGATGCACTCGACCGCTTTTCACATACACCCACCCACCCAAAACGGAAAGCGAAAACGAAAAAAGCGAAAACGGGATCTCGTATAATATCGTGCAGGGGACGCACGGGTCCCGTGACTTGAAGGGGATCTCGCAACGCGGGGTTATGGATTCACTGCATATCTGTGATAGGGGGTGGGGGGGGGGTTCTTTTAGCCGATTCCCGAAGGATTTGGCCCGATTGATTGTTGGGGGAAGGGGGGGGGGTAAGACCGGGAAAGTTGGGGAAATCGATAGGCTATGTGGGGAAAAACCTGGGGTATGATATGATACCGGTAGTTGCGTTCAAGTGGTTCTGGTTCACCATAGCCGGGCAGTGGAGCAGGGTGGTTGTTGATATCATAGACCATTCTTGGGAATGGGGGGTTGGCGTCGTTTTGAGGTAAGGTGTCGTCGTGTCCGGTGATTGGCAAGAAATTGCAATAATGGGCCTAGAGTGAAGGTGTATGCAGAGAATATCGTAGGTCGAACCTAGTTTTTATTCAAAATCATGTAACACAGCTGTACTATCCACAACTTTCAACAGTCGGTAGCGAAAAATTAAAATTAAAATATTATTTCAGTAACTTTTTTTTGATTTTCCTGACGATCTGCGTGGAGTACAGTACTACTGCACCTGTTTTGGCCTTATCTGCATGTCAGCCGGACACTTACTGTTATTGTGTGTGGACAAAATTAACCGCGATTCAACAGAGGAAAATCTTCGGCGATGACAACCACACTCACCCACCAATCCACTATCATGAAAACCAAAAAAAAAAATTAAAAGATGTAAATACATAGTAGAAATTAATATTTGGTATACCATCCATCAGCCTTAATAATTGCCTCTATTCTATCCACCATTGATCCAGCTAAAGTATCAAAAACCTTTGAGTCAAGAAGTTCCCAACAATGAGTGATGGCCTCTACTATTGCCTTCTTGACCACATTGACATTACCCTTCATAAGATATAGCTCAGGGTAGTGCTTATGAAGCTTACCTTTCACCAGAGACCAAATATTTTCAATTGGATTGAGATCTGGTGAATAGGCAGGAATTTCCATCAGTGTAATTCCCTGCCCTCTGAGTCATCTCCTTAAAGGCAAGTGAGTCTTAGCATTGTCAATGATAAAAAATACCTCTTCTTCTCCTGCCTTTTCTCTGATATTCTCCCATATCCCTAGAAAGTCATAATGATCATAAACATCAATAATTGACTTCCCAGTGACTTTACCCCTAGCAGAAGAAAGATCAGGAAAAACAGGCAAAAGAAAACCATGAGTTTGACTATAAAAACAACCAGTCATCATCTGGCTAATCCCTCTCTCCCCTCTCCTAGCCTTAGGTTCAACACAATCCTTATTCCATTTCTCATATGAGTATTTGAAAATCCATTTTCTCCTCTTTCCTCCTCCCCTTTCCACAGCTACCTCATCCTCCCACATTGCCTTCCTTCTCCACATCTCCTTTGTCCAATGCCTATGAGCTAATGCCCATTCCAACCTCTCTTGAGCTAGATTCTCATCCAAATGAACTCTCTCGTGTGTCGTCCACTTTCTAAGATGCTTTTTTTCAAGTGTTCTCCTTACCATCCTACTAGAAACATTGAGAGCAACTTGCTCAGCAATGTCAGAATAGGTAGTATGGCAATTTTTAAGAGCTTCCTCTACCATAGCATCATCCTATAACTTGGTAGTTTTAGGATGTCTTTCTCTACCCTTATTCTCCTTACTCTCTTGATGTCCCTTTACAATTGTATCTCTGATAATAGTGTAGGAGATATTAAGGTAGTGGGAATTTTGCTGATATCTCATCTGAGGCTTGTGTAACCTGAGAATCCTCCTCCTGGTAAACTCAGAGAGATATGTGGAGGGAATAGGTTTTTTGGTATGACTGCGAAGAATAGGAGGCATAGTTTATTGAAAAAAAAGAAATGAGCAGAATGGTTTCTTCTTAGTTGACTTAGAGTAATTTTTTTATGTACTGTTGAGAATGCGAAGTGATGAAGAGGGGTGGGTTGCCACTGATTATTGAATCGCGGTTAATTTTGTCAACGCACAATACGTTCATCTCTACAGTACTCTGATGTAAGGATATTTGGGGGCCTGGCCATAAGAGGCTTCTCTGCTGGATCAGCAATACTCTTTACAACCTTCCCAGACGTACCAGATGTAATATCATCTTTTTTTTTTTTTTACTGATGGTGGATAAACTCGTGGAGGGGGGAATGACGGGATAAGTCATACACAAGGTGTGTAGGAACAGGTGTTAACATCTGACATCTCTCTGAGTCTTTGAGTCTGTACCGAGTACTGAAGGATATTTTCCCTGCACCTCTGTGTTCCCGACATACCCCCTCCACGAGTTTTGTGCCTATTGGAAATCAACTAATGAAGAAGTCTTCCATGGAAGTCATGTGACCTATTGTCCAGTGCATGGTAGACTTAAGCAAAACCCAATAGATGTAAATGAGCTAGTATTATAGCTTGCTATGACAAAATACATATGGTTACAGAGTCCTATAGTTGATTAGACATCCGTATAGGTATGATAGTTTGCAAGTAGCATATCAGCAAAAACGAGGCATGTGTTTGATGCGTAGGCAGTACTGTACTCGTTATGTCGAAGTGTTTTTGGAAAAGACCCAGTCCGCAGGCAGTTGCATCTGACCTGCATATGCAGGTTGAGCCAATTAGCTAAGGATAAGTTCAAAGTACCTTTAGCTGAAAACTTGTCATCATCCTCAACATGAGTGCTGTAGATTCAATACTTGAGTACTTCATCATCGATACTATCTCTCAACTAATGCTGAATGATTTTCATGTTCCATGAAACATTGCTACCTCAATGGCCAGGCATGGTCAGATATTAGCATATACTTGTCCCAGGCAAGAAGTATCCGGATACTGGAGAAAACTATGCTGAGGGCCACAGGGAGTGCACCCGGAACAAGGGAGGAGGTCCATGTACTGTATATGGACAAAAAGGGATGAGATCCCCCTAATCTAACACAATCATATGAATCATTGCAAAAGTCAAGAACTCCATCTGTTCACAGAGATTAGTGAATTAGTATCTCAAAAATAAGAGAAAAAAAAAAGAGAGAGTGAGAGAGAGAGAGAGAACAAGGATGCTGAGAGAAATGAAGAATCAATGTTAGTTGCAGGATGACAAGTCCCCCCATTGTAATAGTACTAATAATATGTATAAGATATACCACCAGTAAAAGGAACAGAAACCACCTATAAATAAAAGTGCTTTATCCATGCCTTGTGATTTGAGGCAAGGTGGAGCTATGACTGAATTACCAGAAGCTAAGATATCCCGAAAAGTACAGTATGAGATATCTGTTAAGTACCAGCAACTACAAAAAAAAAAATAGGGCGGGCTATTTTCTGTCAATACTCGGACTTGAAAGTACCTAGTCACTATAGTGATGAAGGATACAGAATACAGCAGCATGCCATATGGTGATATTACAGATATTAGTGACATTAGGACTTCAGAAAAGATCCTTTGAAAAGCCATTGCAATCAAGTACTACTATTGTAGAAAGGCACATAAAAAGCCTCTTCTAAAGCTTCCTTAAAAGAGGAAACAACTCTGATTCATACTAGACCACCAGGAGTGAATTTGTAAGGACTGGCAGCATATTCTATGGACAGATGAGTGCTACATATAGTTATTAGACATATGTGGTACTGATTGAGTAATCCAGTATTTGAGTGAGAAATTTGAAAAGACTTCTATCTTTCTCACATTCAAGCAGAAAGATAGTATCATGATATGGAGAAGTGAGAATATTACATTCTACTAAAACTTCTCTGGTACATTGGGAGAGGGATAGTTGGGATACAATAACTGCTACAAGTTATCATATCCATGTTCTGATACCATTACTTTGGCCCTTCTGGTACCAGAGAAGTGCATAGGCAGAGTAGTGAGTTTGAATGATAGAGAATAGGACCTCAGCCTATTGGGTAAGTTATACCTATTTTCTGCAGTGGGAATATACCATGCCTAAACTTGAAAGGCCTCTGACATCTCTTGACCTCAATGCAATTGAGAATATTTAGAACATTTTGTAGCAAGACTTCAAAAAGTACTATTAAAGACAGCTAAACTATTATCCATAGTAGTATCAAGAGACTACTGTGATATAAGTAGTGGTAGACAAGAGTCTACTCAATAGAAGTACCATTGATTATTATTACCTTAGTTGGACATGTTACTTCCTAGAGGAAGGTACTTAGGTATGAGTAAGGAAGAGCAGTTACCCTACCAGGTAGGGGAATCCAAGTAGTTGATTTGAGAGTTACTATAAATGATTCAGTGGTGCATTGGGG